ATTTTACTCAGCTGGAAATGTATAAAGGACCACGGTAACTCAAGCAGCCATAACAAAATACTGTAGACTGGTGGCTTGAACAATCTCTTTGTACTGAAAGCTGTTAAGGGTCAAGGTTCCAGAAGTGTCGCTTGTTGATGAGGGCCACCTTCCTGGCTTGCATATGGCTGCTTTGTCCTTAATCAACCCTTCTTTTACTAATGCTCAGAGAGATAGGTCTCTGATGTCTCTTCTTATAAGGTCAACCGACCCTTCTAATTAGGATCCCACCCATATAATCTCCTTTGTTACTTCCACAAAGGCCCTATCTCTAAATGTAATCACACTGGGGGTAAAGGCTTTAACATATGAGCATTAGGGGGACACAAAAAATCAGTCCATAATAGGTTAGGGCAGATTAATTACTGCCACCACTGTAAAGTCACTCTTTGTTACTCCTAACATGCTTACCAATTGGAAACCAAAAAGAAAAATGTCTGTGGACATTTCATATAGGAAACCACAAATACTGGTTGGGCCCAGTCTTAACCTGGGCCAAGGAAGGGATTGGAAAATAAATATTGATACCACACTAAAGATTGTCTTAATTCAATGCTTTAGTTTACACATTGGTTCTAATTGTAAGCTTAATAAGGGAAGATACAGAACATTGCTATATTGAGCAACAAGAAAGTCAGCTATCACAAGTAAAGAGGTATATTCTATTTTTTCTTTCTTAGATAGATTCTTTCTCTGTCACCCAGGATGGGGATGGAATGCAATGGCAAGATCATAACTCACTGCAGCCTTGAACTTCTGGACTCTAATGATCCTCTAACCTCAACCTCTCAAAGAGCTGGCACTAGAAGAGCATACGACCACACTCAGCTAATTTTTGTTTGTAGTGATGAGATCTCACTATGTTGCCCAGGCTGGTCAGAAACTGCTGGTCTCAGGCAATCCTCTCACATCAGCTTCCCAAATTGCCGAGATTACAGTCATGAGCTAATAAACTTGGCCAAGAGATATATTCTTAACACCTCTCTGCCTTATGATGTAGTGTATGAGCAGAAGACTGGCCTTGACTCTCATCAAAAGTGACTATTGCAAGAGAGTCAGAAGTATAAAAAAGGCATGGATTTTTTTGTTTTGTGTTTTTATTTCCCCAAGAGAGCAGATTAAAGGCTTCCAGCCTGCCTCAACCACTTGGAAATAGTAAAATATACAAATATCAACTCTGTGAGCTTTAATTCAAGAAGGAAATTAGGAATCAACTGGAATCATGGGCACACCAAATCCCAGAGAGGAGAGCATCAGCAAACAGCCCCCATGATGGTGACCAGCTGATAAAAGGAGTGAAGCCCCAGTATATGGGAGAAACAGAAAGCCTCCAGCTGTGAATTACATTTTCACTATGGATCCAAGCAACCCAGGCTGATTGACAGAACTTTGTTTCTCCCAATCCCTGAAGCTAACCCGGGGAAAGGCTTGGAGAGGTCATGTGGGAAAAACACTGGAAAAACTGCACACATTTTCTCAGAGCTGGGACTGAGAGCAGAACACCATTTTTATTCCTACACATATAAAGCCACATTCATTGGCGATTCATCTGCGTGTATGTGCAGGCATTTTAGCCTCAAGGCAGAGATTGGAGCACCTGCTCTGAAGCAAGGTAGGGGCTTCTACAGACAAAACTGTGGAAAGTGCCTCAACAGTAAGACTAGAATTGTGCTCTTCCCCATCACATACCTGGAGCAGAGAGCTCCTACAGCTGTAGTTTCTCCTGGGCAGTGAGACTTGCAGCCAAACCAGCTTAGTTAACCTGGAACTAATCTTCATGTGCCATAGTTGTGTGCCCTATCCTGCTCCTCTGAGACTGCAATGAAGTGAGTCACAGACAAGTTTGCCTCATTCAGCAGCCTAAGTCATGCTACCCTTCCTAAACATAGATCACGGTACAGTATGGCCCGCTCTGCTTCATACCCAGGCAGATCTCCAGGATTTCACAACACCAGTTCACCTGGTTCAGCGGCTAGACCTGCAATGCCCTTTCTGGACATAGATTGTGGTGCAGCAAGGTTCTCTCTACCCCATGCCCAGGCATTCAAAATACCTGTTTATCTGGTTCAGCAGCCTGAGCCACCCCACCTTTCCTTGACATAGATCACGGTGTAGGAAGGCCTTCTTTGCTCCATGCCCAGGCATCTGCAGCACCTCCTTTCCTGGATTAGGAGTTCAGTCTAACTCCCTCCTCTGTGCAAAGAATTTGGAGTCAAGGAGGTTTTCCATCTCCATGCCTAAGCACACCTCTGGAAGGATGGAGGCTGCCCACTGGATACTCCCTTGGTGCTGCTTTTTTGTTATTATTATTATTATTATTATTATACTTTAAGTTCTGGGGTACATGTGCAGACTGTGCAGGTTTGTCACATAGTTATACATGTACCTTGGTGGTTTGCTGCATCCATCACCCTGTCATCTACATTAGATAATTTTCCTAATGCTATCCCTCCCCTATCCCCCAAGCCCCCAACAGGCCCTGGTGTGTGATATTCCCCTCCGTGTGTCAATGTGTTCTCATTGCCCAACTCCCACTTGTGAGTGAGAACATGCAGTGTTTGATCCTCTGTTCTTGTGTTATTTTGCTGAGAATGATGGTTTCCAGCTTCAAGTCCTTGCAAAGCTCCATATCCCTGCAAAGGACATGCATTCATCCTTTTTTTATGGCTGCATAGTATCCTATGGTGTATATGTGCTGTATTTTCTTTGTCCAGTCTATCACTGATGGGCATTTGGGTTGGTTCCAAGTCTTTGCCATTGTGAACAGTGCTGCAATTAACATACATGTGCATGTGTCTTTATAATAGAATGATTTATAATCCTTTGGGTATATGCCCAGTAAAGGGATTTCTGGGTCAAATAGTATTTCTAGTTCTAGATCCTTGGGGAATCACCACACTGTCTTCCACAATGGCTGAACTAATTTACACTCCCACCAACAGTGTAAAAGCATTCCTATTTCTTCACATTCTCTCCAGCATCTGTTGTCTCCTGACGTTTTGATGATCACCATTCTAACTGTTCTGAGGTGGTATCTCATTATGATTTTGATTTGCATTCCTCTAATGACCAGTGATGATGAGCTTTTTTTCTTATGTGTGTTGGCTGCATAAATGTCTCCTTTTGAGAAGTGTCTGTTCATATCCTTTGCCCACTCTTTAATGGAGTTGTTTGTTTCTTTCCTGTAAATTTGTTTAAGTTCTTTGTGGATTCTGGATGTTAGCCCTTTGTCAGATGAATAGATTGCAAAAATTTTTCTCCCATTCTGTAGGCTGCCTGTTCACTCTGATGATAGTTTCTTTTTCTGTGCAGAAGCTCTTTCATTTAATTAGATCCCATATGTCTATTTTGGCTTTTGTTACCACTGCTTTTGTTGTTTTAGTCATGATATTATTAAATGGGAAAATGACGTGAATATACACTTCTCGAAAGATGACATACAGGTGGCCAAGAAACATATGGAAAAAAATGCTTAATGTCACTAATCATCAGTGAAATCCAAGTCAAAACCACAGTGAGATAATCTTTCACATTGGTCAGAATGGCTATTACTAAAAAGTAAAAAAACAACAAATGTTGGTGAGGCTGCCAGGAAGAGGGAATGCTTATACACTGTTGTTGGAATTGTAAGTTGGTTCATTGACTGTGGAAAGAAGCTAGGGAATTATCATTGCACCCAACAATCCCATTACTGTGTGTGTGTGTGTGTGTGTGTGTGTGTGTGTGTGTGTGTACATACACTCAGCACACACACATATACATATATTTCTGCATGTCCATTGCAGCATTATTCACAATAGCAAATACATGGATCAACCTAGGTGCTTATCAATGTTGGATTGTATAAAGCAAATCTTGTACATTTACACCATGGAATACTATATCTCTTAAAAATTAACAAAATCATGCCATTTGTGTCAACATAGATGCAGCAGAAGGTCATTGTTATAAGTGAATTAACTCATGAACAGAAAACCAAATACCACATGTGCTCACTTATAAGTGGGAGCTAAACATTGAGTACTCATAGACATGAAGATGGCAGTAGACCTTGGGGACTACTGGAGGAGGAGTGGGGGGGTAAGGGTTAAAACATTAACCTTTGGGAACTCTGATTGGCACTTTTGTTACAGGATCATTCATAGTGCAAACTTCAGCATCAAACAATATACCCAGGTAACAAACCTTCACATATACAACCTGAATCTAAAATAAAAGTTCAAAGAAAGCATAAAAATTGGGTCTAATTTTATTATTCACCAGTCATCTTTCTTGTGTAAAAAACATCACTATCCTCATTGTTTTTCTGAAAGCAACAATTGAGGATTGATTGCGATGTGCTGTTGACAGACACTGCGGCTGTCCCTAAAAGCACCAGCTGATCCATGGCAGAAAATGTTACATTTTAGTACAATTCATTTTGGCTTCATGTTAATGAAAGCCACACACTACCATCTACCAGAAGCTCTCCCTCCAAAGTCCTAGTGTTGAAAATTACCTGTAGTGTGTTGTTGAAGGTGATTTTTTTTAAATGAATAAATATGATAAAATTTCTATTCTTTTTAATAGGAAAGCAGAGAGTTGCTTCAAAATTAAGATGTTAGTGAATAGAATTTTAAGTTGTATTCCTAGGCACTTAGAAAATATTTTGAGTGGTCTCTGCACATATGTCTTGTGCTTCATCTTTACTAGCTAAAATACTGATTTTGTGTAGACTATAGGGTAGTTTCCTGAAAGTATGTTTTGACATGAGAAGATATATACTGCCATAGGTAAAATTTAATTTAAAATTTCATAATTATTTAGTACTTTAATAATGTGCTAAATAATTTTACATTTAAAAAATTGAGCAGGCATTATGAATTTCATTTGAAACCATACGTTAAGGAATCTTAGAGAAATTTATAAAAGGACAGATGCAGAGGGATGATATTGACAGAGTAAATCAATTAAGAAAATATATCTTTTTTGATTCATAAATGTAATGATTGGGTTTTCATATTCATGTGTGAGATGTGCCCCCCTCAAACCTTGTTATGATGTCAGCACATTGCTATCTGACATAAAAAATACAAAGAAAATGTAGAAAATAATAATGTAGAAGAATACATCACTTTAGCTGTTTTCTATGGAGCCATAGTCACAAGATAAGTCAAATCAACCAAAAATCAATTAAGATAATACACAGTAATAATTGTTATACCTATTTTTACACATACCTTATTTTTTTAGCAGTTTCGGGTTCACATCAATATTGAGAGAATGGTCCAGAGATTTCTCATATAATCCCTTTCCCCACATACATGCAGCCTCTTCCATTATTGACATCTTCCATCAGATTAATACATTAGTTACACTTGACGAACCAACATTGAAACATCATTATAACAAGTCCATAGTTTACATTAGAGTTAACTCTTGATGTTGCACAATCTATGAGTTTAGGTAAGTGAATAATGACATGTATCGACAATTAGAGTATCATATAGACTAGTTTCACTGCCCTAAAAATCCTGTGTTCTTTGCCTATTCATCCTCCTCCTCCCAATTCTAATTCTATAGTTCTATCTTTTTCAAAATTTTATATAGTTGAAATCATAACATATGTAGCCTTTCTAGAATGGCTTGTTTCACTTAGTAATAAGCATTTAAATTTTCTACATTTATTTCCAAGGCTTAATAACTCATTCTTTTAAGCACTGAGTAATATTCCATTGTCTAGATGCACCACAGTTCATTTATTCATTCACCTACTGAAGGAAATCAGTTGCTTCCAAGTCTTGACAATTATTAATAAAGCTGCTATCAACATCTGTGTGCAGGTTTTTGCATTAAGTTTTAAATCATTTGAGTAAATATTAAGAAGCATGACTACTGTATTGTTTGGTAACAGTATGGTTAGTCTTGTAAGAAACTACCACTAGGGTTGTGGTAGGGAGATGGTATTAAACCATTAGAAACCATCCCCGTGATCCAATCACCCAGGACCCACATTCAACATTGGGGATTACAACTGAACATGAGATTTGGGTGGGGACACATATCCAGACCATATCACGTCTCCACCTCCAGCCCCTTTAAATCTCATATCCTTCTCACATTGCAAATTACAATCATGTCTTCCCAATAGTCCCCCAAAGTCTTAACTCATTCCAGCATTATATCAAAAGTCCACAGTTTAAAGTTTCAGCTGACTTTGAACTTTGATGAGACTTTGACTGTCATAAGAACAAGTTAGTTATTTCCAAGACACAATGGAAGTACAGGCATTGCATAAATACTGCTGTTGCAAAAGGGAGAAATTGGTGAAACAAAGGGGCTACAGGCCCCACCAAAATTCTGAAACACAGCAGGGCAGTCATTAAATCTTAAAGCTCCAAAGAAACCTCTTTTGACTTCATATCTCATATCCAGGGAACACTGATGCAAGAGGTAGGCTCCCAAGGCTTTGGACAGCTCTGCGCCTGTGGCTTTGCAAGGCACAAAAGCTGCTTTTGCAGGCTAATGTTGAGTATCTGTGGCTTTTCCAGGTGCAGGGTGCAAGCTGTTGGTGGATCTACCATTCTGGGGTCTGTAAGATAGTGACCCTCTTCTCACAGCTCTACTAGGCAGTGTTCAAGTGGGGACTCTGTGTGGAGTCTCCAACCCCACATTTCCCCTTCGCACTTCTCTAGTAGTGGTCTTCGTGAGGGCTTTACCCCTGTAATACCCTTCTGCCTGGAAATCCAGGTTTTTCCTTACGTACTCTGAAATCTGGGCTCCCAAGCCTCAACTCTTGCACACATAGGTTTAACACCACACGGAAGTAGCCAAAGTTTATGACTTGCACTCTCAGAAGTGGAGGTACAAGCTGTATCTGGGACCATTTTAGCCATGGCTGGCGATACAGCTGCTAGGACTAAGATGCAGGGAGCAGTGTCCCCAGATTGTGCAGGGTGGTAGGGTCCTGGGCCTGGCCCACAAAACCATTTTTTCCTTCTAGGTTTCTGGGCTTGTGATGAGATGGGCTGCAGCAGAGGTCTCTGAAATGCCTTTGAGACTTTTTTCTCATTGTTTTGACTATTGCAATTTGCTTTCCTTTTAATTATACAGATTTCTGCAGCCCACTTGAAGTCCTCCCCTAGAAAATGACTTTTCTTTTATGCCACATAGCTAGGCTGCTAATTAGCTAGGCTGCTAATTTTCTAAACATTTATGCTCTAGTTCCCTTTTAAATACAAATTCCAGTTTCAAGTTATTCTTTGTTCTTGCATATGAGCATAGGCTTTCAGAAGAACATAGGTAAACTCTTGAACACCCTGCTGCTCAGAAATTTCTTCTACCAGATACCCTAAATCATTACTTACAAGTTCAAAATTCCACCGATTCCTAGAGCAGGGACACAATGTAATCAGTCTCTTTGCTAACACGTAACAAAAGTAACCTTTACTCTAGTTTCCAGTAAGTTCCTATTTCCCCACCAGAGACCTAATCAGCCTGTACTTTATTGTCCATATCATAATCAGCATTTTAGTGACAACTAGTTAAGCGGTCTAGGGAGTTCCAAATTTTCCTCATCCTCCTGTCTTATTCTGAGTGCTCCAGACTCTTTTAAACTCTGCCCAATACACAGTTCCTAAGTTACTTCCACATTTTCAAGTATCTTTATAGCAATGCCCACACTTTGGTACCAATTATCTGTATTAGTCCATTCTTGCATTGCTACAAAGAAATACCTGAGACTGAGTAATTTATAAAGAAAAAGGTTTAATTGGCTCACAGTTCTGCAGGCTGTACAGGAAGCATAGCAGCTCCTGGGGAGGTGTCAGTACACTTTGAAACATGGTGAAAGACAAAGGGGAAGCACCCATGTCTTACATGACTGGAGCAGGAGGGAGAGGTTGAGGGAGCTACCACACACTTTCAAATAGCACATCTTAAGAGAACTGTATCATGAGAACAGCAATAGGGAAATGATACCAAATCTTTAGAAACCACCCCCATGACCCCATCACCTTCCACCAGTCCCCATCTCCAACACTGAACATGAAATTTGGGTGGATACACAGATGGAAACCACAGCCTATTTCATTCTTTTAATTTGCATTTTGCTGATAACATAGGTTCACTTTTCTTATGCTTATATGCCATCTGTATATTTTCTTTTTTTTTATAGATAGCTATTTTTCTTTTTCCTTTATAAATTGCATTTTAGGTTTTGGGGTACATATGAAGAACATGCAAGATTGTTGCATAGGTACACACATGGCAGTGTGATTTGCTGCCTTCCTCCCCATCACCTATATCTGGCATTTCTCCCCAATCTATCTCTCCCCAACTCTCCACCCCCACAGTCCCTCCCCTATTTCTCCCCAACAGACCCCAGTGTGTGATGCTCCCCTTCCTGTGTCCATGTGTTCCCATTGTTCAACACCCGCCTATGAGTGAGAACATGTGGTGTTTGATTTTCTGTTCTTGTGTCAGTTTGATGAGAATGATGGTTTCCAGGTTCATCCATGTCCCTACAAAGGACACAAACTCATCGTTTTTGATGGCTGTATAATATTCCATGGTGTATATGTGCCACATTTTCCCTGTCCAGTCTATCATCGATGGGCATTTGGGTTGGTTCCAGGTCTTTGATATTGTAAACTGTGCTGCAATGAACATTTATGTGCATGTGGCCTTACAGCAGAATGATTTATAATCCTTTGGATATACACCCAGCAATGGGATTGCTGAGTCAAATGGAATTTCTATTTCTAAGTCCTTGAGGAATTGCCACACTGTCTTCCACAATGGTTGAGCTAATTTACACTCCCTGCAACAGCGTAAAAGTGTTTCTATTTCTCCACATCCTCTCCAGCATCTGTTGTCTCCAAATTATTTAATGATCGTTATTCTAACTGACATGAGATGGTGTCTCAATGTAGTTTTGATATGCATTTCTGTAATGACCAGTGATGATGAGCATTTTTTGATATGTTTGTTGGCCTCATGTATGTCTTCTTTTGCAAAGTGTCTGTTCATATCCTTCGCTTCTTTTGAATGGGCTAGTTTGTTTTTTTCTTGTAAATCTGTTTTAGTTCTTTGTAGATTCTGGATATCAGCCCTTTGTCAGATGGGTAGATTGCAAAAATTGTTTCCCATTCTGTTGGTTGCCAGTTCACTCTAATGACTGTTTCTTTTGCTGTGCTGAAGCTATGGAGTTTGATTAGGTTTCATTTGTCTATTTTGGCTTTTGATGCCAAAGCTTGTGGTGTTTTGGTCATGAAGTCCTTGCCTATGCCTACGTCCTGAATGGTTTTTCCTAGGTTTTCTTCTAGAGTTGTTATGGTGTTAGGTCTTATGTTTAAGTCATTAATCCATCTGGAGTTAATTTTAGTGTAAGGTGGCTGGAAGGGGTCCAGTTTTTGCTTTCTGCACATGGTTAGCTAGTTTTACCAACACCATTTATTAAACAGGGACTCCTTCCCCCATTGCTTGTTTTTGTCAGGTTTGTCAAAGATCGGATTGTTGTAGATGTGTTGTGTTGCATCGAAGTCCTCTGTTCTGTTCCATTGGTCTATATCTCTGTTTTGATACCAGTAACATGCTGTTTTGCTTACTGTAGCCTTGTAGTATAGTTTGAAGTCTGTTAGTGTGATGCCTCCCGCTTTGTTCTTTTTTCTTAGAGTTGACTTGGCTATGCAGCCTCTCTTTTGGTTCCATATGAAGTTTAAGGCGGCTTTTTCCAGTTCTGTGAAGAAGGTCATTGATAGCGTGATGGGGTTAGTGTTGAATCTGTGAATTACTTTGGACAGTATGGCCATTTTTATGATATTGATTCTTCCTAACCACTAACATGGAATGTTTCTCCATCTGTTTGTTCCCTCTCTTATTTGATTGAGCAGTGGTTTGTAGTTCTCCTTGAGGAGGTCCTTTAAGTTCCTTATTAGTTGTATTCCTAGGTATTTTATTCTCTTTGTAGCAATTGTGAATGGCAGTTCGTTCTTTATTTGGCTCTCTTTAAGTCTGTTATTGTTGTACAGGAATGCTTGTAATTTTTGCAGTGTGATTTTTTCACATTGATTTTGTATCCTGA